TTCGAACCGCCATAACAGTGCTACCCACTGAGCCACTGTGCAGTGACAGCTGCAGAAAATTGGGGTGGCCAGCCGGGGGCAGTTATATTTATGGGAGAGCCCACGCCACGTTGCATCTGGCCACCTGCGGGGCAGTCCACCTCGTTATATTTTGTTGACTGGGAAAGGTCCCAAGGTCCTCCTCAGTATATTTAGCCCATCGCTATCGACCAAAAGACCACAAATGATGAAATGGAGCATTATCCATTAATCATCCTGTGACTGAGTTGGAGACACACTGCGGTCAACTGATCTACGGGTTGGGCAGCTACTTTTTACAGAATGAAATGCTCCATATTTCTTTTTTAATTTTGGTGAGGGGTGGAAACTGGGGTGGCCACTTATTTATTGAGGGAGGGGGGCAGCCACCCCTTAGATCCAACCCTGCCACCGTGCCATAGCATATGTAATAAATAAGCCAATTAAAATGTAAATAAATAATACAGTGTTGAACCACAGAAAAATCAGAGAAGACTCCTGTAAGGTTAATGTGAAAAACCAAATGACAAGAAGATGATGATAGACACTTAAAAGGCATACCAATGCGTAAAATAATTTCAAAAAAATTGAAAATGCTAACATTTTTGACATCTCTTTAATGTTATGTTAAATACTTCATCTGTTCAATAATCCAAAAGTCCTGTTCTGCATTTGCTTCATTATAGCTGAAAATGATACTGATAGAAAATTACTTTAAAAAACAAAACTGTAGTACTAACATTTTAATACCATGGTTTATGTTATTTACATATTTCGGCATCTAGTAATTTAACTTTAAAAGTAAATTTTAAGTGGTCCATATTTTGCGTGTTTAACGTTGTCTACTTGCCAACACCATCCTCACAATTCTTGCAATGTTGCATTATTTATCCACCAGGTGGCGCAAAATCAGGCGATATTTAACATACGTAGAAAATAAAAAAGGACTAATGTCAAACTAGGGATATTTAGTCATCCTATTAAAATGTGCATCCAACAATGAAAGAAAAGTTTTAGTACATTTTATTGTGATAAAAAAAATCCAAAAGAAAAATAAATTTCATTTTATTACCATAAAATTTCACTGAGATTTAATTTTATTAAAAGTTTAAGTCCTTAATTAATCCCGCTCTTCAGTTTTTACCATTTTAATACCCTCTTGATTGTAATATCCAACAACAATAGGTATTTTATGTCCTGTATGGATATTTCTTTACACGCCTAGGCCTATATCACATTTCAACTCGGTTCCATGAGCTGTGCACACCCATGCTGTAAAATATGTATCTAATGCGGAGAATATTATTGGACGAGAGCTCCTCCGCGACAGGGAAAACAAGAAAGAGCTTCGACTACGGTGCGTGGATCCCTGCCGCACGTCAGATAATGTAGCCCCCCCACCACCACCACACATGCTCAGGACCAAACTCGGCACACAATTTTACGTTTTAGATGATCGGTAACCCTATATTAATATACAACTACATGGATTCACATGATCCCCTAGGACCACATTTCTAGCTTTTTCCTTTCCCCGTTAATGGCAGCCAAATGTAGCACGTCGTGCGTGTTGTCATAATTCAATACTACTCATAATACTAAGTTAATATAGCTTGGAATGACAATTTACAGCGCCAAGAAATAAAAGCAGTTTTTACCGATTAGAACTATCGAGGTACATTATTCAGTTATTTGTATAAATGTTTATGTATGGATGTAGGCTATGCAACTAGAAAAGGAGCACCGGCGTCGCAAAAGCGGCTCCTGTCAATTAGGTGTCAGCCACGACTCCTGGGGTTGGGTCCAGTGATGGCCAGGCGGCGGCAGCCTGCTCCTTCTCCCAGTGGCCGATCGCAGCGCCGGCCCGGGATCCCCCGGCTGCGGTTGGATGTTGCGGCTGCCCGTTACTGCTCCTCCCAAGTTCGGTTGCTCGGCAGCGTGCTGATTCTCATTGATGAGGAGAGAGCCGAGCAAAAACCCGACCGAGGGGAGATGGCAGGACTGGGGCAAGGCGCTCGTTCTTAGGGAAAGATCTACGTCCTCATTTCTAATCTAACTGCCGGAAGAAACTGTTTAAAAAAAATTAAAACCATGTAAAGGCAAAGAGGGGTAATTTTATCCTCAGATCTCAGTAGTAGTAGTATGTCCATCCTGTTTCTGCTACGCTATAGCGTTGTGCATGCTCTCTTCTGGATTATCATTGTTGCTGGTGTTTTCAGTGTCTTGTTTCAATACGCGCATTGGAAAAATGGATACAAACAACTGATTTAAAAATAGGAACAGCACTGAACCTGCAAAGTTCGCGATTCGCTATCGGTCCGCCCATGGGGCAGAATTAGATCGGCCGGCGCCGATGTCAGGACTCTCTGCTCCGCACCTGGCAGATTTCGCGCTGTGCGTTTGGAAGTTTTAGTACCTAAAGGTGTTACGCTGGGCTCCCGGAATCATTGAGAACCAGAATGCCAACCATCAACATAGATACTGAAGTGAGTACAGACACATTTATTGATATTTTAAATTTATATTAACAAAAGCATGAGATTATTTTTGTTTGAAATAATATAAATGGAAACAAGCCCAATCAAAAATATAATTAAATAAGTATCGGTTCAACTAAGATCTTAAAAGTATCGATGGTAATTTGGCTTTGAAAGAAACTGTAGGCTATATGGCGAAATATTACATAGTTTTAATGATTCATATAATCCTTTTATGGTGGCATAATATAGCTCTTGTTGCATTTTTAGATAATGCTACATGTGTCGCTAGCGGCCGAAGTGTTGTCATTCGTGTGCTTTATCAAATTTTGCAGTGAAAAGTTAATGTTTTCAATGTTACTGCCGGTTATAACACTATTTAAAACTAAATGCATACGCCTCGATTGCCATGAAATGGAATTTAAACACATAATTCAAACACTTCTTGGTTTGTTTGGAAATTGATGTTGTAAATATCGGGCAATAGTTTATAAAACATCCGTCTCTTCATAATTTGGCTACTCGTTTTAATTAATAACGTAGACAAACAAGACCATAACAAGTCGCGATAACGTGTGTACGTATAGAAATAATGTGTGTGTGTGTACATGGAATTTAAAAGTTAGACTTTGTTTCTTGATGAGCAATAATTACACGCAGAGCTTGAGATCCTAATACTCAGGGATGATCCGTCTCTGAGTAGCAGTTAAATAATCGGCACGGCGGTGCCACGGGGCCACTGCCTTATGTGGATTTCATGAGATTAACACCGGACTGTGTTTAGTCCTCGGCGCACAAACGTCACCAATCGGGATTACTTTACCCTCCCTTCCTCGCCTACCCTCAGTCGGTGTGGAGCACAGCGCTGATCCGCCACGCACTTTGGAGGGAAGCACCTGCCACGGCGATGTAGGTCCCGCACTCCGTCCCACGGGCTCCCGGACCCTCGAGACCGAAGCGCCCATGCGAATTTCAAACTGAATGTCAAGTATGACTGAAGCGTGGAGGGAGGCCTCTTTAAGGTAAGCGTAGCCTCTTTCTGAGATATTAATTATACAACATTGAAGCAGACTGTAGTTATAATATGTATATTTAAATGAATGCTATTTAAAAACCTTATTTCTTGAGACAGATTAGCCCATTGCATTGGACCTGCAGCATCATTTGTGGTCACTGTACAGGCCTACCTGTGTATGGGTAGTATGACAGTAAAGCACAATTGACTTTCCATGATCTGTTTCCTGGACAGATATACCCGACCCGGGGCCACATTCCCAGTTCTCCAGCGGCTGAGCAGGTGATGGTCTGGCCACGATGCTACGCTTTCCTGTGAAGAAAATCCGCAAGCAGTTCAAACTCCTTCTGTTACTGGTCCTGCTCACCTTTGCTGTCTGGTTCACATACCTGCACATCAACCAAGGCAAAGCAATCAAACTCCATTTTAACTATGGGAGAGGTAGGCATTTCAAACCTCAGCCTAATCTTCACCTCCACAGTCGAGGTGACCGTGTGCTCGTCTGGAAATCATGCATCTTATATATTTTTAAAAATTAATTTGTTTATGTATCTAGTATCTGTTTTGGTATTTTATAGCATATTGTGGTTGATAATTCGGCTGTGCTGTTCAATAATTAAAAGTACACCACCCTGGCATGTTATTCTCTGTTTCTTAAATGCAGAATGGTATGGAATAGATTCAGATAAGAATTGGAGGTTGTTTCCTCATCAATAATGAAAGGCTAGGTCTACAGTGAATGACTGAGAGGCTTGCCAGTCAGAAAACACTGCAGTGTATCATTATAGTTTGTTTAGATAATGGGGAAGCCGTTTCTCACCTCTGCCCTGTGCCAGTAGAACTTTCATGTTTTCTTAATGTGAGGGTTTACTGCAATGAACTGACACGGTGTTTAGGGTATACCGCAGCCTTGAGCCGCGTGCTGCCTGGGATAGGATCCTGGCCCCCATCCCCCACCCCCTTCGCGATTCTGTTTATGATAAATGGTCGGAAGATGGATGGATGAAAGCAATTTGTACCGAATATAAAATATTGCGATGCCGAGCGGTTGAAGCCGGAGATCGAGACAGATGCTCATGGATGTTTTGCTATTTTATTTAGTCAGCCGACACGAATAGGATCACACCTGCAGCAAAACCACGACGCGATTGGTAGAAATGAGAACAAAACGTTAAGAACAAAACGTTATTTACTGTATGGCAGCACATTGGATACGAAAACACGAAGAACTGGACAGGAATCACCAGGAACTAAATAAACTAAATTAACGGGAATGCACAAGCATCTTAAACAGATCATAAACAGTTACGTTCTCTCCAACTCAAAACGGGACATGCAAATCAGATTTAGTTTCGCGGTTGAAGTTACCAGTCCGTCAGAGAGTACAATATGACACACACACACACACACACACACACACTGAGGCATGGGACAAGTTATACTCGAACATCACGGCCTGCACACGTACGCTTCTCGTGTTGCATTCACGTATACGTCCAGATCCCTCTTTTGTTAGTTATTCCCCAATCCCTTTGTTCACATTTCGACCTCATTTTCAAAGAGTGGGGAGAAAGGATCTAATTCTCAGCATTGATTGATATTCTTAGACTTATTTAATCAGCCGAGTATTGTGTATTAAACTCCGTTATAATCAATACGCTTCACGGCGGTCGAAGGAGCCAACTTACATAAGGATTAAAAAGAAAGCGCGAGGACTGCTACGGAAAAGGCTGGCGCCGCGTGCTCAGTGCCTCGCTGATGCAGGACTTGCACGTTTAAAGATGCTGCAGACAAAGTAAGAGGAGAGGCAGCGCTGTGTAATTAGGGTTTAAAAACAGTCGTGACTAGGTAGTATGTTTTGTCAGCTGTCCGTGCTTTAGCTGCGACAGCAAGAGCTCAGCATCTTGGGTATTATCTATTAAACAGTGAATGGGTTGCGAACAAAAGGGATGGCAAACAGGATGACGCACATCGCTGCCCGTACCCCAGCCATGGACCCTTTCGCTGCTCTTCGCGATATGTAAATAGACTGCGTGCTCACCTCCTAGCTGGTGCAAAGGGGTCAGCATCGCCGCGGTCGGCTCAGCAGCCACGAGAGAATGATCCTGCCCAGATCGCACCTTTACCCTTACGGCGCCCCGTATACATCATCACATCTGGTGTGACACTCCCGCTTTCAGAATCTCACGCTAACGTAAGAAATCTTACGGCAAATCTTTATTATTATTATTATTATTATTATTATTATTATTATTATTATTATTATTATTATTATTATTATCATAAACTTAAAATTAGCCACATCAAAGGTGATGGGGTAGTTTGCAAACCCTACAAACTATTTCCAAGGTATTGAAATTGTTACATACATGCAAATGCGTGTGCATGATTGAAAATCTCAGGCCAGCCAGCGGACCAAAGTTGGCAACCCTGGTTACCTGTGTACAGCACTGTCTCATCAGGATTCCTAAAAAAATGACGTCAATTTCATTTAAACTTTTGCTTATGATGGTGGGATTGTGTACCCCCTCAATATTATTTCATCCGCCCAATGAACAGATCTATCTATCTATCTATCTATCTATCTATCTATCTATCTATCTATCTATCTATCTATCTATCTATCTGTCTGTCTGTCTGTCTGTCTGTCTGTCTGTCTGTCTGTCAGTCATTTTTCTCCCAATTTCTTAGGCATTAGCTGTTCTCTTTAAATCTGTTCAAGTTTACCACACTTCTATACATCATCCCACCTGTGTGAGAACTGAGCAAAATTGCAGGTTTCTCCCTCAGGGAAGAAATGTCAGGAAAGCTTACACACCCACTCCTCTTGCAGGAGGCAGGCTTCTCATGGTGTAAGATAAGGGCATTTTTCCATCCATGCGCACCGGGAAGCGAGATTAGCGAGGCATCTCGCCTGCTGTTTTGGTGTGAGCGGCCCTGGTGTGGTTAGTTCAAAGCCCATTACAGCGGGAGTACGCTGAGCTGTCAGGATGATCTCCAGCAGACGCAGTTCATCCTTGGTTGTTGTGTGTCTGTCGGGGTGCCGGGGGGGCGGGTACTATTCCTCAGATTGGGGTGGGGGGGGGAGGGTATTGGGTGCAGCCAGGGCTGGGTAGAGAGAGGGATGCAGGGATGCTTTTTGTCGGCCTTCCTCATGCAAGGATGTTCTCGCCCCGATGTAGTTTGCTGTCCGCTCCTAACACAGGGGCCGCTATCTACCGCCACTGGACGAAGTTGCTTCTTTTTTGTGATGTTAAACAGAGGCTGTAATCCATTTTTGGTCCACGGCATATCCCGGATCTCATACAAATGTCTGCCATGCTAATTAGGCCTCATAGATGAACCAACTGGGCCTTTGAAACAATGGAGAAGCAGTTTAAATGAATGTGTTCTAACTAGCCCCAACTTTGATTGTGGCTCATTCAGGCCTTAATTAGCTCTACACAGAATGCAACTCAAAACGAGGGCAATAATAGCAAAGTGGCAGCATTGCAGGCCTGGCTGGAGACGGACTTGCATATTTACAGGCCCCAACGCACAATGATCAGCCTGTCCTCCGTCGTGATGTTTACTGAGGTGCTGCCAGTTTGTAGCCAAACAGTTTTTTACAGGGCTGCCAATGAATAGAGCGCTTTAATTAAAAATGTGCTCACACACATGTGCACGGAACCCCCCCCCCC